GCCGTCTCTTCAAACATAGTTAAGGCCAAAATCACAGCATATTAACAATTATTAAAGCAAAGAGATACAATTATCAGAGTGTATCAACTTGGAGTGACCAAAAGGAAAAAAAAGAGGGTCTGGATTTATCAAATGTCTCAATATAGCATTGCAAGATAGAGGCATGTGAAAGAGGGGCCATGCTTTTGTCACGTGCCCAGCATCCCCCTTGATGTGAACTATTCATGTTTCAAGTCGCTTTTTGTGGTCTATTATGAAATTTCAAATACATTGTTTATTGAATTGACAATTTCACAGACTCCTTAACATTTCTGATAATATTGTACAGAAATATATTCCATTTCTATGCACTTACACTGTAAAATAGTAATTTCACACAATAAGATAAAACTGACTTTAAAATATATATATATACTCTGACGCCAAGTACGGAGAGGTTCTTAACAAAACAAGAAACATGCCTATTGTTTTAATAGCTAATCAAATACCAAACAAGTTGAGAAGCTATGGACCCATGTAGGAAAGAGTAACGAGGCTCAGATTTAATTCAAGGATATCCAACATAGACGAAGAAAGATTGATTTTAACCCTCAAGGGACGTATACCGATCGAAGAGCTATGGCTCAGCTGCTTCGCGTATTACACTATATGGCCCGAAGGGGGCATGTTGCAAGAGCGTAGGTGAGTGATAAGCATAGGAGGCGTGCTCGAAGGGCGGCGGCAGCAGTGTGGTTCCTTGCGATCTATCTGCTTCTTTCTCTTCCCAGGAATGAAAAATTGGATTAAAAAAACATTTTCTTCTTTGTTTATATATATATATATATATATATATATTAAGATTAAGCAAGCAAGAAAACGGATGCGCGAGGCTAACGCTATAGGCTTGAGCGTGTTAGCGTTTAATCAATCCGTTGCTTGTTCTTTAGTGACTCAAACTGCCAGTACGCTTCTTTGAAAATCGTGAGGATTCAAGTCCCTCTATCCCCAAAAAGACTATTTATCCGACCCCCTTTCCTTAGCGGTTCAAAATTACTTATCTTCTCATTCGGCTCCAGAGGCGCTGCTGTAGTCGCCAGCACCGACATGAAAAATAAAAAAATCCGGTGTTGTAAACTAATAATGTCATTTTTTTGAAAAAGAAACAAAAAATAGGGATACGTAGGTAAAAAGTTTACGAGAAATTTCAATATAGAATAGAATCGAAAGTTAAAGAAAGGAACTTAGGCAAACAATCTCTCTCTCTCTCTTTCTCTCTCTCTTAATTCACTTAATTTTCCTCCAAGGTTTATATTTCTCACGATCCAAGTTCTCCCTCCATGAACTGTCGTGACGGCACCTAGTCTCGACGACTAGGTAAGCCTAACAAATTGCGAAAAAATGAATTAAAGATACAAAACTAGCCAATTAATAGGTAAATATAAATAAAGTGTTTAGAATGCCGCTCGGCATATATAAAATAACACCCTCGACTGAACATAGCACTCCAAAAACCCGGAATCTCATGAATCACAAGCTAAAGAAATACATACAGAGTGCCTTAATTTAGTTAAATGTTTCGCTCCAAAGTAGGATGAGGTGCAAACGAGTCAAAGTAGAATCTTACATTTTACTGAACTAGAATTTAGAGATAGAAATATATAAATGAAGAACAACAATGCCTTAGTTTAGTTATATGTTTCCCTCCAAAGTAGGATGGGGTGCAAATGAGTCAGGGTAGAATCGTACATTTTACTGAACTAGGATTTAGAGATAGAAATATATAAATGAAAAATGTTTTACTTTTACAACTAAAGATTTCTATACTTTTATTGTCAGTAAACAATACTTCTGTGTCAGCTTCTAATTTCATTAGTTAAATCTACTTTTATTTTTCATATGATCTTTGCCATCCAGGGGTTTCTTTATTTGGATTCTGTCAGTTGTATTTCACTAAGTTCTTTGGGGCTTGACCAACAGATACTACTTCTTCATATGATTTATGAAGTTGCTTCTTGTATACTTTGTTTGTGATTGTTTTTATGCAGTATTTTGATTTTCAATGATACATGTATGTGCTGCTTATGCTGTTTTCGAAGTGTAGTCTATACCTGGTTAGTCAATTCCTTCTTAGGCATAATGTTTAACTGCACATGTGTTCTTCATGAAACATCTTAATCGTTTCAACTCGCTACAAATTGATTTAATTAGCTTTCACGTATACTTAATTTAACAACTTTGCTCTTTTAATTATAAGCACAATGTTAATCATTTTATTTAGTAATTTTTTGATAAACTTGAATAGGAATTAGAAATGTACAGAATGAATTATGGGGCAATCAAATGTATTGGTACTTTTTCCTTATAACATTTGGTCAAGTACTTGAAATTTGCTGGTTGCATGTTTTTGAACCTCTGCCTTCTATATTTTGGCAAATAATTTTTTTTTGAGCCCATAAGTTTCACAATTTACTTGGTTAATCATAAGAGGAAAATTTACAGTCACCCACTGAGCTCTAAGATAACATACTCTAACTTGTACTATACCAATTCTTCTCCAACTTCACGCCTCTCTATTGGCAAACACTGTCTTACCCCATAAGCTGGACAAAACCAAATCTTGAGAACAGAAGTGTGAAAAAGTGTGTGAATCACTTTATTGTATTGATGCCTATAAAGTTGATAGTCATAGAACCTATAACAGTATGGTAATGCATTTAATGTTTCTTTTTCACTTTCAGATGTTAAGATTACAAGAGTTGGCGGATTAATTGAGGCTAGAACTGTACATTTGTTAGCTGACGAGTAGATGGAACACTATTCCGTTGGCATTAGAACACTTAGGAAAAAAAACAGGCAGAATGCTTATTATCGCACGGGCCATCTTCATCTAGATGTCAAATATTCGTCACATAATAAATAGACTTTGGAATAAATAGGGATCCTTTATTTAAGATCTATACAACGACATTACAGACTAATGTCCTCCCCCTAACTCTTAAACAGAGAGAGAGGAGAGAGAGAGGGGGGGAGGGAAGGATGAGGGAATACGTGTGAGTGTATTGGACCCTGCAACTAGGGGTGTTTAAAACCGTACCGAAACCGAAAACCGAACCGAAACAGAAGCTTAATGGCTTATTGGTATCCGGTTAACGGTTTAACGGACAGGGAACTGATTGAATTTTTTATTTATTAACGGCTTATCGGTTTGGGGGAGGATTATTCAATTTTCTTAACGGATAATCCGTTAACCCGTTAAGAATATATGTATATAAAATTTATTTTATCCATATATATATATATATATATATATATTAAATAATCAAAAACCCTTCTTCCATTTCCAGTACTCTATCTCTATTCTCTATTACTAATTTACTATTAGACAAATTTTAATTGCTTGCTTCGCGATTGCTTCACGTATTCTTACCACCTCCAGTAGGTACAGTGGAAGTACCACAACTTAACAAACAAGAGATAATTTAACGAGTAGAATCTGTTGTTAAATTAGGTTTAACGCATACATATGCAGGTTTGCTTGCATGTAAAAAAAAACGTCAATCCGCACACATTTCGACAGGTGTTCTTGGATTGCTTAGAAATTAGAGTGACATCTAAAGAAAATTGGAGAAGTTATAAAACAAGAGCAAGAAATCCCATTCTTTGGCCAACATTAGCATACATTTGAAGCACGACGAAGCAAATTTTGGACCCTCGCTAAATTTGGTAAATTGCGTCATGTGCAATATAGATTGAATTAGGCCGACAAACCGCCCGATAACCGCCCGATAAGAGCTCAACCGATACCAATCCACCCGATACCTTATCGGGTGGCTAGCGGATTAATACATCTAAAAGCCAATAACCGATAAGCCAAACCGTTAAGAGTAAATAACCGTCCAATCCGCCCGATAAGCAACCCTACCTGCAACCCCCCTCCCCCACCCCAAGGCCCTTCTCTATTATTTATATATGTGTATTTATCAGTTTATTTTTAAAATTTAAAAAACTCTGTTTTTCAACATACGAGAAAATCTAATCTTCTATGATTTTTGGTTATTTTATAACCTCAAAGTATAGAATACATTGATGGCTCGTGTTAGATGAAGGAAGGTTTATGAGAGAAAACTTTAAAAGGTTTCACGATAATATTTAAGGAAAATAATAAGAGTGGCAAAAGAACTAATTGATGGTCAAATTGAAAAATCAAGACAGAGAATTTCGGGAAGGCAGGAAAGTAAAGAGTATATTTACATAGTGCTTGAGATCTGTCCTTACAAATAAAATTTTGTGCCCTTATATAGGAATGTACAATTGTAACGGTTTTTCCCACATAATTTGGGTTTATTATGGCATTATGTATTGGTTGTCCATTGTCTAGGATATCTATAACTGACGTATTTATTGCTAAAAAACCCTATAACTATTCTGATTCTCCTTCCTTATTTACTTCTGGTTCATGTACATTTCCTTCTTTTTGTTCTTTATTCATTCCCTCCTCGTCTATTCTTTGTCAACTATTAGGCCCGGTTCTCTTCTTCGAATCGTCTCGTGGATGTTTCTCCCCGTGCCTTCTTTTCTCAATTAATTCTATCAACTGAGAATGCCACTTGTCGTTATATCACTGTTCCATGTGACATACTATGTCGGCAGTTTGAGGTCACGAGTAGCTTCACATAGTGAATTATGACTTGTGTGCATCATCGGTTTTGGGTTTTTGAGAAGTTCGGAAAGGATTTTAGGAGTGACTCTCATTTGAGAAGCTCAAAATTTAAAGAACTGAGCAAGGTTTGAATTTTGAGTATTTGACCTTGGACTGGAGTATCGATGGTTCCAGTAGGCTCAGGTGGTGATATTGGACATAGGCGTGCGTCCAGATTTGGATTTGGAGGTCCGTAAGTAATTTGAAGCATTTTCGCGAAAATTGGAAAGTTGAAGTTTTGGAAGTTGACCTTGCTTTATCTAATATGTCATCGTTCTTTTCGCCATCTTATACTTATAGTGATCAAAATGATTTCAACTTTTCAAACGTTCACGGCATTGCAAAGGAACATAAGCAACGATGTTGTTGCAGCGCCACCGCTACCTCCACCTCTGAGTCTTCCTCCGCTGCTTCCACCACCGCTACCACAACCCAAAAACACCCTTTCATAATAATCCACACAAAACAACGATTACGAAAGTTCCACTTCATGCTGTGTCCAAACACTTCTAACAACCTCCGAGTCAGACTTCCTTCCACTTATTTAGTCGGTCAAAAATTGGCCTAACACACACCATGTACAGTCTCCGGTACCCTCCTAGAGCCAACACCACCATCTTTACACCATCCGGAGGCAGCGACACATGGCGGAAGCAGAGGTGTTCCCAGAGAGAGTCGTTCCTAGTGATGGAGCACCAGAGTCTACAAACACATGCAGCAACCCCTAAGGAGCCGCCATGCAGCCTTTGCAATATCTCTATCAGCACGTCAATATTGTCATTGATGAAAAAATTGGCACCCTTGTGTTCATTTTCGCCCTCCTCTTCCAGTTGCACCATTTTCTCAGGCAACACTTTGAAAACAACATAAGTAGAATAGACCTTTTACCATTGAAACTCAAATTACTGCATAAAAACAACCGCAAAGAAAATATACAAGAAGTAACTTCATAAATCATATGAAGAAATAGTACATGTTGGTCAAGGCGCAAAAAACTTAGAGAAATATAACTAACAGAATCCAAATAAAGGAACTCCCGGATGGTAAGAGAAATCATATGAAAAATAAAAGTAGAGTTAACTAATGAAATTAGAAGCTGACACAGAAGCATTATTTACTGTGACGACCCGACCCGTGGTCACGTGAGTTACCGCTTCGTTTTCCCCGTTTTCAGCTTCTTTATGCTTCATTATAAGAGTCTTGTGTGAACGAGTTGATTTGGATTGGTTTTAGAGGGAAATGAGACACTTAGTCTCTTTAAGGAAGGTTTGGTTTGGAAAAGTCAACCGGATGTTGACTTATGAGTTAGAGGGCACGGATGTAATTTTCGGTGATTCGGTTAGCTTCGGGGGATGATTTGTGACTTAGGAGCGTGATCGGAAGTAATTTTGGAGGTCCGGTGTAGAATTAGGCTTGAATTGGCGAAGTTAGTATTTTGGCGAATTCCGGTTGATAGGTGAGATTTTGATCCGAGGGTCGGAATGGAATTCCGAGAGTTGCTGTAGCTTCGTTAGGTGATTTGGGAGGTGTGTGCAAAATTTCAGGTCATTCGGAGGTGTTTTGGTCGGGTTTTTGATCAAATGCATGTTTCGGAAGTTTTAGAAGAACTTAGGCTTGAATCCGATGTAATTTGATGGTTTTGGTGTTGGTGGAGGTGTTTTGATGATTGGAGCAAGTTTGAATGATGTTTTAGGATGGATTGGCACTTTTGGTTGATGTTCCGGGTTTTGGACTTGTGTCATTGATGATATTTGCTGGTTCTGGTATTTCCGCATCTGCGGAAAAGGGACCGATTATGCGGTTCTGCAGATGCGGAAAGGGAGTCGCAGGTGCGAGTTTCTTGAGGAGTTAGTTTTCGCAGATGCGGGCTTGGAGCCGTATCTGCGGTGTCGCAGATGCGGCAATGGAACCGCAGAAGCGGACATGGGCCATTGGGGTTTTCCGCAGAAGCGGGCAGGTGTCCGCAGAAGCGGTTAGAGGATCGCAGAAGCGAAAATGCCTGGACAGAAAGGGTTTTAAAAGTTTCATTTTGTTCCGCGAGCTAAGGCACTTTTCTACCATTTTTGAATATCCTTGAGAGCATTTGGACGAGAATTGAAGGGGATTTCGACTGGGATTGATTGGAGGTGAGTTCTATGACCTAATTACATGTGGTAGAATCAACCTAGAAATTCATGAAAATTTATCAAAAAGGGGAAGAACTAGGGCTTGAGTTTTGGTATTTCAAATTGGGTTTTGATGGGTCATTTGAGCTCGGATTTGGGAGTTCTTGATATGTATAAACTCGTGGCGAGATAAGGAATCCGTTGATGTAAAATTTGCTGGAATTCGAGAAGTGGGCCTGGGGCTCGGGTTTTACGAATTTCGTGATTTTCGATGTTTTTCGATTCTTTTCGATTGGGTTATGTTCCACTAGCCTATTGTGATGTATTCGTTGTGGTTTTGATCAGATTCGACGTGCGAGGAGGCCGATTTGAGAGGCAAGGGCATAGCGAGCTAGGATTTTGACCAGCTTGAGGTGAGTAATGATAGTAAATGATATCCTGAGGGTTTGAAACCCCAGATTTGCACAACGTAGTGCTATATTAAGGTGAAACACGTGCTTATTGACGAGCGCGAGGTTGTTTACTATTGGGGATTGTGACTTGGTCCGTCCCGACTTATGTTTTTACCGCGTATTTGACTGAGATGTGTTTATTTTTAACATAACTTGGGCCTATTGCCATATTTTGGGCTTCATGCCGACTACTTGAATCCTTCGTGGACTTTTATCACTGTTTCCTCACTATTTTGATATACTACTTGAACTCAGTCCTGTTGAATATACTATTTTTACAAACTCAGCCGGTTTAATTGAATTTTGAGACTTAAATGATATTTTCACTGTTGTTTGGGTTGAGCGTTACTATTTTATTGATGCCCGAGGGGCTTATGATGTTTTTTGAACTGAGTGAGGCCCAGGGCCATATGTGAGGATATGATAAGTGATGTGAGGAGGCTTTCAGGCCTTATGAGTGATGTGAGAAGGCTTTCAGGCCTTATGAGTGATGTGAGAAGGCTTTCAGGCCTTATGAGCGATGTGAGAAGGCTTTCAGGCCTTATGTTGATATAGCGCTTGGGCCGTAAGGGGCCCCTCCGGAGTCTGCACACCCACAGTGAGAGCGGGTACCCATATGATCTAAGAGTGAGCCCGAGGGGCTGATACTATGCTGAGTGATTGATACTGAGCCCGAGGGGCTGATACTATGCTGAGTGATTGATACTGAGCCCGAGGGGCTGATACTGTTCTGAGCGATTGATATTGGGCCCGAGGGGTAGATTTTTTCTCACTATTTACTTGTTGTTTTACCTGATTTACCTGTTTTTAAAAGGGAGATTTCATTTGACTCTTACTATTTTACTGCTTTAAGTGATTTATTGCCTGATATAGAATTGCTTTGTGCACTTATGTGTTTTCATGCCTTTGGTTATTGTTTATTATTATTACTCACTAGGTCGGAGTACTCACATTACTCCCTACACCATGTGTGCAGATTCAGGCATAGCAGAGTCCACACCTGAGCACTGATTCCTTCCAGACCAGGCAGCGAGTTGGAGATACGAGGTAGCTGTTGACGTCCGCAGCCCCTTGTCTTCCCTATCTTACATCATTTATGTTTTCTTTAGACTATTGTATCGGATATTACTCGTTGTAGACTTATAGCAAACTCTGTAGTAGCTCATGACTTGTGACACCCCGGTTTGGGCTGTGTCGGGATGGTTTCCCTTGTTATTATCGCTGATTCCGCATAATTGACTATATTAAGCATGTGTTAGAATTGTTAATATTAATTAATTGCTTTAAAAGAGGTGTTGCGTTGTTCTGGATGGCCTTGTCTTCACGAGAGGCGCCATCACGATCGGGTTTGGGAATTGGGTCGTGACAAGTTGGTATCAGAGCCTAGGTTACTAGGTCTCACGAGTCATGAGCTGGTTTAGTAGAGTCTCGTGGATCGGTACGGAGACGTCTGTACTTATCCTCGAGAGGCTGCGGAACCTTTAGGAAAACTTCACATTCTTGAAATTCTTGTCGTGCGAACTTGGTGATCCAGGTGCTAAATTTCTCTTTATTCTATCCTCTCACAGATGGTGAGGACACGAGCTACCGGACGTGGACGCGGTCGTGGTCGTGGCCACCCACTGAGGCCACGACAGGCCGTGGACGCGGTCGTGGCCGTGGCAGAGGCAGGGCAGCAGGGGCAGCGCCTGTTGATCCACCAGTTTCCCCAGCTCTGGATCAGGCTCCAGCTGCACCAGTTCAGGCACCGGCTGTGGCCATCGTGATTCCTAGCCTTCAGGAGACTTTAGCTCAGATTTTGACAGTTTGCACTGGCCTGGCTCAGGTCGTTTCAGCCACCACAGCAGCAGCTGCTTCGCAGGCTGGGGGAGGCAATCAGACCCCCGCTGCTTGCACATCCGAGCAGGTAGTGCAGGGATTACAGACTCCAGAGGCACCTCCAGCCCAGCCAGTTACACCAGTGCAGGAGTTCAGGGTTCCAGCTATGCCCGAGGATGAGCAGCGTCGTCTTGAGAGGTTTGGTAGACTCCATCCTCCGACATTCAGTGGTGCTGAGGGCGAGGATGCCCAAGGTTTTCTTGACAGATGTCAGCGGATGCTCCGTACAGCAGGGATTCTCGAGTCTAGTGGTGTGGCTTTTACCACCTTTCAGTTTACTGGGGCTGCCTTCACTTGGTGGGAGGCGTATGAGAGGCGTAGGCCGACCGGTGCAGCACCTTTGACTTGGCAGGAGTTCTCCACTCTCTTCTTGGAGAAGTATGTACCGAAGTCCCGTAGAGAGGAGCTGCGTAGGCAGTTTGAGTGGTTAACACAGGGAGATATGATCGTGTCTCAGTATGAGATGAGGTTTTCGGAGTTGGCTCGTCATGCCGTCTGGATGGTTCTGTCGGATCGTGAGCGGATCAGGAGTATTTGTTGATGACCTTAACTACCATCTCCGTGTTCTTATGACTAGAGAGAGAGTATTGGGTGCTTCGTTCGAGGAGGTGGTTGATATCGCTCGTGAGATTGAGTCGGTTCGCCGTCGGGATCGAGAGGAGAGGGAGGCCAAAAGGCCTCGTGGATCGGGCAGTTACAGTGGTGCTCCTTCGAGGGGCCAGTTCCAGGATGGTAGAGGTTGCTCTTTCAGGCCTGCTCTGTCGGCCCGTCTAGAGTATCGTGGGGCATCTTTAGGTCGTGGTCATCATGGCCTCAGCAGGGCCAGCCTTCACTCGGTGCTCTCCCAACACAGAGTTCATCTCGTGCCCCGTCTACTCAGGGTTCTTCTAGGCCGAGTGCGTCAGCTAATCACTCCGGTGCGAGGGGTTCCCTTTAGTCCCACTCTCTACACCTGGGAGTTGTTATGAGTGCGGAGAGTTTGGACATATGTGGAGGCAGTGTCCTCGTCGTGCTGCTAGCTCATCTCAACAGAGGGGTCAGCCCTCGTCTTCTGGTCCAGTTTCTTCAGCACCCACCCACCCAGCTAGGGGTGAGGGTCAGGCAGCCAAGGGTCGCCCCAGAGGTGGAGGTCGATCAGGCGGTGGTCAGGCTCATTTTTATGCTCTTCAGGGCAGGACAAATTCCATTGCTTCAGATGCCATCATTACAGGTATTATTTCAGTCTGCCACAGAGATGCCTCAGTCTTATTTGATCCCGGTTCCACCTATTCTTATGTGTCCTCATATTTTGCTCATCATTTAGGTACGTCCCGAGGGTGTCTTGCTTTACCTGTTCGTGTATCTACCCCATGGGCGATACTATTATTGTAGACCATGTGTACCGGTCATGTTTGGTGACTATTG